GAAAGTAAGAGAAAGTTCATACAAAAGAAAAAAATGGGGAGACGTAATATTAACTTCTTTTCGGGTATTAATAACGACAGAATTTGACAGCATTTTCGAAATTAAAAAAAAAAAAAATTTTTTTTCCCTTACTCATTGTTCGGCCCTTTTTTTTCTTTCTTTCTTTGACTTCCCATTCAACCATTTCCGGTTTTCATTTTCACATCCCTTAGAGAGAAAAAAAAAAGCATTCACTCTTTGCCAAATCATACTTTTAACTTTATTTATTTAATTATATATTTTCCTTTCAAAGTGAGAAGAAAAAAAAAAAAATTTTCCTTGCCCCCCATTTTGTTTTCCTTTGTCAACATAGGGGAAATACATTTCGCACTAACTTCCTCCGTCCGGTAGCAAGGAGAGTGGGGGATTCAGCCGAAGCCACTCCCCAACTAAAACTGACCAACCGTTCCCACGCCCTCCACTCGGGAGGGAGAACCAACCTGCATTTCAGCCTCAACCCCCTCCTGAACTAAAACCATAAGATCCACACACTCGCGATGACCACCCTAGGAAGATCCCGGTACCTATTCTTCCCTTAATTACTCTTTGAGTGACAGTCCCGAGCTGCCACCATCGTTCCTGCCTCTTCCCTCTGAGTCTGTGAGTTTCCAGAGAGAGAGAAATGTCCAGGGTCCCATTGATCATTCATCTATCTTGAATTGACCTCTCGACTTTCGAGTCGATTTTTTCCCTATTCAAACCTTGGGCTCCCCCAAGGCATCCAACTTAAAGATTCACCCCTAGTGGACGCCTAGTCAACGTGGGAAATCCAATCCCGAAACCCCCGCCCCTAAAAAAATCCTCTACACCTAACCTCCACTTATATAAATGAAAAAAGTAAACCACCACTCCCGTCTTTCCCCGCCCCCCTCCTCAACTTATTAAAAAATTTTTGTTTTATTTTTTTCGCGTTTGTTGGCAACAATGTAATAATATAAATAAATATATCCAGGGTGAAAACCCACGCGTTTGTTTTTGTGCGCGCGCGAGGTGCGAAAGAAAATGTTTTTTATATTCGTTTTCCGAAAGGAAAAAAAAATTTTTTTTACCGCTTTCGGCATTTCGGGGGTACCAACCACATCCGAAAAGAAAAAAAAAAACTAACATAAATTTGGTTTTCTCCGAAGGGCGTGAGAAAAAAAAGAAGAAAGGGAAAAGATTTAGAGAAACGGAAAAATATATATATATATATTTTAAACTTGCAAGTTTTGTATTTTTCCAAAAGTTCTCTCTCTCTCTCTCTTTCTCTTTTTTTTCTTTCCACCGTGAAATGTTAATTTATGCATTTTTCAAAAAAATTCTTTATTCTTTTTTTTTCTTTCTTTTCCTTTTCTTTTCCATTTTTATTTGAAAAATAAATAAAACGGTATAAAATTGTCACGGGAGTTGGTTGCGGTTGTAAATTGTCGGTGTAAAATGTCGACGAATCGAAATTTTTTCTCCCGAAAAAAGAAAAAAGGAAAGAAGGAGAGGAAATAAAGAATCCTTGTATCATTCTCTCTCTCTCTCTCTCTCTCTCTCTCTTCGATTTTTCATCATTTTCAATGAATGAATGAATAAAATAACGAAAAATAGACATTTCTTTTCCTTTTTTATGTCTAAAATAAATATATATATATAATAGAGACAAGAAGATAAGAGAGAGAGAAAAAGAGAGAAAAAGAGAGAAAAAGAGAGAGAGAGAGATGCAAAAAAAAATCGAAACAGGTAAAATAAAATAAATAAATGCCACGACAAAATTTAACGTCATCGTCGCCGTCGCCGTCGTCATCGTCGTCGTCGTCGGTTAATTAACTTTTTAACGCAAACGATTCTAAATACACGTAAAAAAAAAAAAAATCTAAATACACGACAAAAAAAAAAGAAAAATTCGCACGATTTTACGATAAAATTTTTACTATTTCCTTTGACAAAAAATAAATTTCGCGTTTTTCATATCGTCGTGATTTTAACAAACGAATCGTTATTAATTCTAATACCACGATATTTTCCATTTTCTTTCGATAAAAACAAATTAAATTAATGAAAATCCCCTCTGTTTTTTTAAAAAAAAAAAAAAAATTTAAATTCAATATTTTTGTCGACATCTTTACGACAACAGTAAAATAAGAGAATTTTTTAATTAGAAAAACGACCGTTTAAAAAGAACTAACCTCTTTGAATAAAAATTCATTCAAACGTATTCGAACCTTTTCGAAATTTCTAGAAAATTCTAATAAAAGGAAAGCCTCCCCTTCCTCCCCTCAAAAAAAAATTATTCCACACTTATCGCACTGCATTCAATTAAAATAATAATTTAACTTTATCGTTTCTTTTTATTATCATTATCTTTTTTTTTTCTTTCAATTATTATTATTATTATTATTATCAATTCTCGAACGATCGGCCTTTAACTTTTTTATTTCAATTTTCCCCCGCAACCCTCCCCCTCCTTCCCCGTTATTAATGAACGAAAAAAATGAAAAAGCAGAAGAAAAATAATAAGAAAACTACGCCTTAATTTTTTTTTTATACACAAATAAATTGCCTTTATTATTATTATTATTATTATTATTATTATTATTATTATTATTATTATTATCGATATCGTTAACATTATCATTATTATTATTATTATCAATTTCAAATATCGAAATGAAAAACAAATAATTGAAAAGGGAATTAAGGAGAAAGACACACGAATGGAAAAGGTGTTGTTGATAAAAAGATCTGATTGAGAAAAGTTAAACGTGAATATAAAATAGGAATGGAAAGGGAGGGGGCGAATAAACGTTTGGGGGGAGCACGCGCGCGTGTGTGGAAAATCAAGATTGACGTTGATTTGAAAGGTAGTAGAGAGACGGAGATTGGGGGAGCGAGGGGAAAGTGAAAAAAAAAAAAAATTGGTTTTCCTTTTATTAAACTTACAATTTGAAAATATAAAATTTTTCAAATCCTGTCCCCCTTTTTTGCGCCTCCCCCCCTCTCTTCCCCCCCACCACCACCACCACCATCTTTTCCCTAAAATCGCGACTAAAATTTAAATTAAATTTTTCTAAAAAAAAATCTTTCTGTTTATGTTCTTTAACTTTATTTCCTTTTGAAAAAAAGGAAATAATATTTAAATATTTTAATTTGTTTTTTTTTTTTTTCTTCAAAGTGCTTAAATTATAATAATATGCAACCTTTTTCAATTTTCTCTCTCTCTCTCTCTCTCTCTCTTTCTCTCTTTCTCTCTCTTTCTCTCTTTCTCTCTCTTTCTCTCTCTTTCTGTCTTTCTCTCATGTTATTTTGTAAAAAACGAATTTTGCGTTACATTATTCAGACAATTAATTGAATTGAAAAAAAAAAAATTTTTTTTTCCTTTTTTTTTTTTGTAAATTATTCACGATTCATCAGTAAAAAAATTCATTTATTTTTTTTCTTTATTTTTAACGGTAAATAAACGTTATTATTATTATCATCATCATCATCATTATTATCATCATCATCATCATTATTATTATTTAATAAAAAAAAAAAAAAAGAAAAGAAAAAAAAGGTTACAGAGTGAAAATTCCTTTTTTTTTTTTTTAATTAAAGTAAATGTTTATTATCAGAAAAAGTTTTTATGTTTGTTTTTTTTATTATCATTATTTCAAATTCATTTAAATAAAATCTCCCCCTCCACCTTCCCTCCCCTCTTTTCCCCTCTTCTCTCCTTTCTTTTCCCCCTCCTTCCTCTTCCCTTTTTTAACTTTTTTTTAAATAACTGAAAATAATTAAGATTAAATATTTCGATATGAAAAAAATTTTTTTTTTTTTTCTCCCTATTTTACAAATCGTGTGTCTTCTGCTTATGAGGCTCCCCCCGCCCCCAACCCCTTTTACCGCCCACTAACTCCCCCTCGTTGTAAAAAAAAAAAATGACCGTTTGACGTAATAATGATTGATAGGTTTGATAATAATGATTAGGAAAAAAAAAATTCAGGTACGAATACATTCGTTAACGATAATAATAATATTAAAAATAGTTTAAACGAGTTTTTTAAAACACGAAACCGAAAAATTTTTATTGGGGAGACAACCGGAAAGAGAGAGAGAGAGAGAGAGAGAGAGAGAGAGAGAGAGAGAGAGAGAGAGAGAGAGAAAATGAGGGAAAACGAAAAACGAAAAAAAAAAATTATTCTAATCACGCATTTGAGAAAAATTTTTTTTTTTTTTTTGACTTTTGAAGGATTTATTACCGTGAAATGTTCGAGAAAAAAAAAAAAATAACCGTGAGTGGGGGGTAGGGGTAGGAGGGATGATGGGAAATTTTTTTTTTTTGCGTTCGTTACGAACGGCGAACGCCTTAAAAAAAAAATAAATATATTTTTCCCCCCGGTTTAAATTTTATTCCCTCGCTTATTTTTTTATAAATTTTTTTTTTTTTTTTTTTTTTTTTTATTATTAAATAAAATAATAATTTATTTGCCGCGTTTTTTTTTTTTTTTTATTTCGCGATAATGATAATAATAATAATAAATTTTTTTTATTTGTCGTGGGAGGGGGGGGGAAGGGGGGTAAAAAGAGAATGAAAACAAACAGAAGAAATATTATTAGAGAAATGAATGGTAAAAAGGTTACCCCATGTTACCTTTTTTTCTCACTTTTTAAAATTTCCCTCTCTCTCTCTCTCTCTTCCTCTTTCTCTCTCTCTTTCTGCCTTTTTTCTCTCTCTCTCTCACTCACTCAAATCCTTAATTTTTGTTTGTACTACCAGACAGAAAAAAAAAAAAAAGTTATAAAAGTACGATAACGATAATCAAAAAAAATAATTTGTTTTTTTTTTTTTTGCAGATAAATTCGAACGTGTCATTAGAAAAAAGACAAAAATGGCGAAATTTATCGAAAACATTCATTACTAAATTGCCAATTACGTATATATATATATATATAAATACATATATATGTACACACATACATACATACATAGATAAATGTATATGTGTGTGTTTGTAATGGCACCGTCAATAGGAAGTGCCGGTGTTGAAAGCACTTTTGGAAATGTCGACACGATGGATTCGGTATCGAGAAAAGATCATAACAATCATCATCATCATCATTCTCAAAATTCGCCGTCGTCGTCGTCGTCGTCGTTTCCCTCGACGACATCGACTCATTTTTTTTTAAACTCCGATAAAAACAATGAAGTGATCAACGAACAAAATCCGTTCGATTTTAACGTTACGGATTTTCCGATTATACTAACGTCGGAAGAAACTCAAAGTTGGACAATAATATTAGCAAACGTTATTAAAATATTAATAATGAGCTTTATCATTGTTGCCGCAATTTTCGGTAACCTATTGGTCATTGTGTCCGTCATGAGACATAGAAAATTAAGAATAATAACGAATTATTTTGTCGTGTCCCTAGCGTTTGCCGACATGCTTGTCGCCATGGTCGCCATGACGTTTAATTTTAGCGTACAAGTTACCGGTAAATGGATTTTCGGGTATTTCATGTGCGACGTTTGGAACAGTTTCGACGTTTATTTTTCGACCGCGAGCATATTACATTTGTGTTGCATAAGTGTCGATAGGTATTACGCGATTGTTAAACCCCTAAGGTATCCCATTAACATGACAAAAAAAGTGGTGTGGATAATGTTGTTGAACACTTGGTTATCTCCGGCCATGATAAGTTTCGTACCGATATTTTTAGGTTGGTATACGACTGAAGAACATAAAATATTTCGCGATAACAATCCGTACGAATGTGATTTCAAGGTTAATAAATTATTCGCCATTATATCATCGAGCATAAGTTTTTGGATACCGTGTACGATAATGATATTCACTTACCTGGCCATATTCAAAGAAGCCAATCGTCAGGAAAAACAATTACACGAACGTCAGGGTAACGCCATGTTGCTCAACCATCATCGAAGCAGCAAAGAAATAAACAACATAAATGGCGATGTTTTGTCCAGCAGCGGCGGGTCGTCCAAAACTCTCACGCTTCACGACAGCATAACGACGGCCGACCTTCATTCGACTCCTACGAAAGATAGAAATTTAATTAAAATGAAACGTGAACACAAAGCGGCAAGAACTTTGGGTATCATAATGGGTACCTTTATACTTTGTTGGTTGCCATTTTTTCTGTGGTACGTCGCGGCAACGCTTTGCGACTGTGAAACTCCTCCGATCGTCGTAGCCTTACTTTTTTGGATAGGTTACTTTAATTCGACTTTAAATCCATTGATATACGCTTACTTTAACAGAGATTTTAGAGAAGCGTTTAAAAACACTTTGCAATGTGCTTTTTGTAGCTTATGTAAACGTCCACCGAGTGATTTGGACGCATTGGACGTTCGTAGAGCAAGTCTGAGATACGATGATAGAACTAGAAGTACTTATTCGGAAACGTACATGACGCACATAGACAGAAGGAGATCGAGCGAATTAGGAAGCAGTCTGTGATTTGAATTGAATCTTAGGATTAATTAATAACTACAAAATAAATAGACAAAAAAAAATCAATAATAATAATAATAATAATAATAATAATAATATTAATAATAAAAGGTATGAAGTTTTCCGTTTTAAAAAATCAAAAAAAATTTAGTGATTAGTCGCACAAAATAAATTTTACCTTTTTTTTTTTTTTTTTTTTTTTTTTAAATTATAAAATGACATTTAACGTTAAAATCTAATTCGTCAAACAAACAAACAAACAAACAAACAAACGAATGAAATAAAAATTATATGTCGCCGATAGTGTTAAAAACTAAACCTTAAAAAAAAAATGTTACACATTTGACACTTTCCATAATTGAATTTTAATTTTTAAACGTTTTCTTCATTCGCCATTTTTTTTTCTTTTATTCTATTTTCTTTTATTCGGATAAGAACAAAAACATCGAGAAAATTCTTTTCTTTTCTCGAAGTGCAATAAAAACAAACTTATTATTAACTTGAATTATTTTCAATTAATCCATGACATGTAAAATATTACATAATTTCAAATCGTGTTCATCAAACTATTGTAACATTTATGTTAAATTCTCTCTCTCTATCTCTCTTTCTCCCCCTCATTCTCTATCTCTCTCTCTCTCTCTCTCTCTCTCTCTCTCTCTCTCTTTCCCTCTCTCTCTCTCTTTCCCTCTCTCTCTCTTTTTTCAAACGTATCATTCGTTAAAAAATAATGAGATATCGTTACCGTCCTCAATGAGATAAATTTTAAATATTTTATTTCGTTGTATTGACCCGGACGTTGAAATAAAAAAAAAAAAAAAAGTAAATCGATAAATAATTTATTCCTACATTATTTAAAAAATTCAATTTTCCTTTTTTTTCCTTTTATTTTCCTTTTTCTTTCCCCCCTCTTTTTTTTTTTTCGTTTAAAGATTTTATAAAACTTTTTTTTTTAAATTAAAAAAAAAAATTCCGGATCGAAATTAAAAAAACATCGTGTAAATAATTCATAAAAAAAAAAAAAAAAAAAAAATCAAACGATATACTTTAATATAATTTTTAATTTGAAAATGATTCACGAAATAAAACGAAGAAAAACGTAAAAATACGAAGAAATACGAAAATACACGAAGAAAAAAAATTTTCGCCATATTGTTTTTTTTTTTTTTTTTAAATAAAAATCGTTACGGTTCATTATTGTCGGATTTTTAATGAGTTTTTTTTCCTTTTTTTTTTAAACGAATGTGGAACTCAAAATAAATGAAATAATAATAATAATAATAATATATAAATAAATAATTTTTTGAAAGCTTTAAGAACAAAAGATTTCCAAATAATAATAATAATAATAATAATAACTTAAGTAAAAAAAAAAAGAAACAATGGGATTTAACAAATGACGAAAATATCTACTTTCAATCTTCTTAAACTCTCTGTCTCTCTCTCTCTCTCTTTACTTCTTCATTTTCCACATCTTCATTTAATATTTTAATTTAACAAAAAAAAGAGAGAGAGAGAGAGAAAAAGAGTTAGAATCAAATCACGATTTTAATAACTACGAAATAAAATCAAAATATAAAAATCCGCCGCCAATTTGTTTTTTGTTTTTTTTTTTTGACAAACACTTAAAAATCTCACCTTAGATTTTCGAGAGAGAGAGCGAGAGAGAGAGAGAGAGAGAGCGAGAGAGAGAGAGAGCGAGAGAGAGAGAGAGAGAGAGCGAGAGAGAGAGAGAGAGAGAGAGAGAGAGAGATAGAGAATATAAAAGAACACACATACTTCCCGTTTGTCGAGTGTTCTTATTACACTTTCTAAAACTAACTCAAAATGTTTTATTACCACCACCGAAAACTTTTTCGAAAAAGTTATAAAAAAAAAAAAAAAAATTTTCTTTTTTTTCTTACCTTTATCCGATCCTTCGGGAGGTTCAACCTTCAACTTTTAACTTTAATAATAATTTGTTAAAAACTCTACGAGATCTGAAAAATAATAATAATAATAAAATTTATTATTGTTTTCTATATATATATATATATATATATATGACACCGTATTTGTTTTCCTCGTTTAATAAAAAAAAATTCAGGCAACGAGTCGAATCATTTAAGTTGGCAACGATGAAATTTATTTTAATCATTATATATATATATTTTTTAAAATTAGCATTTAAATAATTTTTAATTTAATTTAAACTTTATGTGAGTTAATTAAAATAAAAAACTGTGAAAGTTTTCCTTTTTTTTTTTTTGTGAAAAAGAAAAAAAAAAATTAAAATAAATTTTCTCCATTTTGAATTTTTTTCCCCTTTTTTTTTTTTTTTTTTTTCGAAACGAATCGTAAAAACGGGGGAAGATTAAAAATTTTAAAAAAAAAAAAAAAAAAAAAAAAAAGGAGGAGTGGAGTGGTGCGTGGCGAGAATGAAAAAAAAAATAAAATAAGGGAAAAAATATGGTAAAAATATTAAAAAGAAGAAAAGAGAGAGAGAGAGAGAGAGAGAAAAAAAAAAAGTTTTCTTTTTTTTGAACTAATTTATGGTAGAGGTTGAAAAGAGTGTGAAATTATGTTGGTAGGATTTTAAACGCATAATCCGTAACGCGTGAAATATTAACGGTTATACCCCGTGGAAAATTCTAGATAAAAAAAAAAAAAAAAAATTTTTTTTTTTAATTAATTTTTATTTTCTACCCGCCCCCGCCCCTCCCTCCCTCCCTCCTCCCTCCCCCCGCCGTTTCGGTTTTTTGTTTTCCTGGATTCTTTAGGAATCATTTCATTTTGGGAGAGAAAAAAACAAACCGAAAAAAGAAAAGGAAAAAAGGAAAAAAGAAAAAAATTAAAACGGATATTGCCACGACTGAAAAAAGGAAATGAATATCTTGTTTTCCTTTATTATTTTCCACGTTTCCCTTTTTTTTTTCTTTTTGTTTCTTTTCCCGCGGATTTATTTATTTATATATATAAATAATACGAAATCTTTTTCGATATTTTTTGTTGTGTTTAAATAATAATAATAATAATTTTAAATAAATCTACCTTTTTTTTATCCAATCGGAAAAATGAATGACCTCCGAGGATTAAATCGATCCTGATTTTCCACTAGTCCAGAAATTTTTCATTTTCTTGAAAATCTGAAACCAAAAAAAAAATAAAATTTTACAAAAATTATTACAATTTATCATTATTATTATTACTATTATTATTTTTTAAATTAAAAGGAAAACTTTTTATTATTATTATTATTAGTAAAAAAAAATTGAAAAATGAAAAAACGCGTGAGAAACGCGCGCGCGCATAAAATCAATTTCGGACCAATATTAAATAATAATGATGATGATTATTGTTTATTATTATTATTATTATTATTATTATTATTATTATTATTATTACGATGAGAAAACGTTTAAGATGAAAGTTAAGAAAATTAATATGAATAAATCGTAAAAGGATGATGACTACGCCATTTTTTTTTTTTTTTCGAAATATAAAATTTTCTTTTATCCCGCTTATTATATAGTTTATTTTGAGGTCTTAAATTCATGACGTGGATAATTTTCATTTAATCGCATTAAGAGTAAAAACAAAAACAAAAAAAAAAAGAGAGAGAGAGAGGGAATGAAAGAGAGATAGAGAGAGAGATGGAGAGAGATGGAGAGAGAATTTTTCAATTTCTCAGACTTACTAGATGGGAAATAAATGAAAATTATGAAAACCCACACAAAAAGAAATCACAGAGGATGATAATTTAAATTGTTAACTTTAAATGTAAACATTATAAGATATCTCTCTCTCTTTCTCTCTCTTTCCCTCTCTCTCTTTCTCTCTCTCTCTCTCTTTCTCTCTCTCTCTCTCTCTTTCTCTCTCTCTCTCTCTTTCCCTCTCTCTCTTTCTCTCTCTCTCTCTCTTTCTCTCTCTCTCTCTCTCTTTCTCTCTCTCTCTCTCTCTCTCTCTCTTTCTCTTTCTCTCTCTCTCTCTCTCTCTCTCTTTCTCTCTCTCTCTCTTTCTTAAAAATTTTTTAATATTAAATAAATCATTACGAAATTAATAATAATAATGATAAAAGTAAAAAAGTAATATTATTATTATTATCAATAAGTAAAAATTTTCTTACCTTTTTTCTTCCTTTCTTTCCTTTCCACATTCTTCTATTTTCTCTCTCTCTCTTTTATTGATTAACCTATAAAAACAAATACATAAATTATAACGATTGAATAATTACACAAGAGTTTATTAATATTAATAATAATAATAAATAAATTGAAATCTAGAATATTATAATTAAAAATTCAAAAAAAAAAGAAAAAACTACTCGAAAAGTGGGAGAGAGTGAGAGAGAGAGAGAGTAATTTTATATTATTTAAATTACATCTAAAAAGATAATTATTTAATTAAGTTAAACAAAGTTATCTTTAGTATCTTATTCTCCAGTAGTATACCCTGTATCCAGAATTAAATTAGTCAAGAGTTAATATTAAAAGAGTGGTTTTTTTTTATTAGGATAAACTTACTTTACAAGTTGTAATTATTGGTAACATAATTATTATTCGATTGCTCTCTAAAAATATTATTTGAGTGTTACCACTCAAGTTCGAGATTTTTTTTTTTTTTTTGCACGATTCACCATAATAATAATAATTATTATTATTATTATTAATATAATCACAAAACCGAAAAAAAAAAATTTGTACGTAAACAAAAAAAAAAAAAAAACGAAAAAGATTTTTCCTATACCCTTTAAGTTGTTGTTGTTGTTTTCAAACAGTTTAATATATAAACAAATGATGATGACGTAATAATAGCAGAAGACGAATTGGATTTACGTTTAAACCATTCATTCATTCATTCATTTATAAATCATACGACATCGAATTTTCTTCTTTTTTTTTTTTTCTATTTTAGAATTTTCTCGACTGATGTGCTTTTTTTTTTTTTTAATCTTAAGAAAAACATTAATAAAATGTAATTACGATGATAATGATGATGATGATGATATTACTAATAATAATATTAAT